ACCATATTATTGTTGGTTACCAAGTTCATATTTGGTTGGCATTTGTATGATGGCTTTCAGGTGCGCGACCAGCAAAGCTTGTTAAAGATTGTCAGATGACTGCACCATGTGGAACCACAATTCTCTATCCTTCTAGCGGAGGAAATATTCATTGTTTTAAAGCCATTACTCCTTGTGCAATTTTTGACATCTTATCTCCACCTTACTCCTCAGACGATGGAAGGCATTGCACCTACTTCCGGAGGTCTCCCAAAGCTGATCTTCCTGGTGAGAGCAAACTGAATCCAAACTATTTTCCTTCCATTACTCTACGATGATGTGACTTATCTCTTCGAGTCTGCTTAGTATGGCCTAAAATGGCAGGATCTGCTAAAATGACTGAACTACTGCAGGTGTGGCTAAAATGACTGAAAGTGATGTATAAATCCAATTTATTAATAAATAATGAAAACAATCATGAAAAAGGTTAGAATGGTCACTTTAGGAAACTTTAGCATCTCTGGCCAAACCATACCACTCAGATGTGCTTTTGTCAACTGTTAACCAATTTAACACACATGGTAAAATAATTAGTGTTCACCGTTCAGTGAAAAATTGACTGATAATGTTAGTAAGTGGAAAGCAACGTATATATTCCCCGTCCCAAAATGTGCTTCGTTCTTTCCATTTTGTGAGACCAAAATGAACTTCAGCTTTGCTACTTGTACCCACCCCTGTGAGAGATTATTTTTTAGTTCATGAATCAGACAAAACAAACATGTTTTTGTCTGTGAACATCACAGAAAACATGTGTTTTGTCTATGAAAGGGATTCACAGACAAAAAAACAACCTCTCACCGGGGTGGGTATAAGGGTGGATATAAGAGCGTGGGTACACAGAATTTTTCAATAAACTTTGTTTCTATGAATAGATTATTATGTGATTCTGCACAGTTTTTTACCTCAATGCAATTTTTTACTGCACAGTTTTCACTTTCTAAATCCCTTCGCCAAATCAAAAGTCACCCAAAATGTCTTTTAGTTTTAGCCGTGTAGAACTATCGGAAATCATCATTTCTAGGGACTTATATAAATTTTGTTGTTGGTTTGGAAATAATTACAGTTATAAATGTAATGACAATTAGTTTCTGTGGTTCACATAGTTTTTGTTTTTGTGTGGGGTGGAGGGGAGTATTAGCTTTCAGTAAGACTTTTTTGGTGAAAGAATCTGACAGTGATACTTTAATATTATTGTCTTAAGGGGAACTCGAGAAGGATGGAATGGCAATATCTGGAGTGAACTGGTTGGAAGAATTTCAACCTCCTGATGACTTTGTAGTAAGGAGAGGGCAGTACAAGGGCCGTGCTCTTAAAACTTAAGGGGCTTTTCTTTTTTCTTTTTACCCCCCTTTTTTTTTTCTCTTTTACCCTATTTTTATTCATAGTTTATAGTTCATGTGTGTAATCAAGGTGAATTCTTAGTCACATGGCTGCTTGTCCACTCAAAATAATAATGCGTCGGTGAGAGAAATAGGAATCATATTAATTAGTGATTAATTAGTGTTCATATTATAATGCCAATCAATTGTGCCAACCTCACCTTAATTTGCCACTGTAATCAATAGTTAGTACTAGTTAATAGATTTGCGTTGGTAGTTTACGTGTTAAATATTTGCATGCCAAATGGGCGTTAAATATTTGCATGCCAAATGATAGCATGTAAAATAAATTATATTGTTTGACTAAATGTGTAATTTATTTTGAATTTGCACGATAGGCGTTCATTGCTTTATAAAAAACATGTAAAGTATTTTACCACCTTCCATGTAATTACATCATACAGTGTGAAATGTTTTTATTTTCTACAGCTTACCTCAAATAATCAATCCAAATGGTGTAAACCTTTAGCATCCTTACATTTTGCATGCAAAGTACTCCCTCCTTCCCCCTATAATTTTCCCATTTTTTCCATTTTGAATGTCTTCCTATTATTGTCTCATATCATATTTGGTAACATTTGTGTGACTCTAATTCATTTTTATTTTATTTCCATTTTATCAACTCATTATCAAACACATAATTCTATTTTTCAAGGATAACAGTAAGCAGCTAGTAAAGGATTAGGTAGAAGTGCTGCGAGTAAGAAAGCTATAGCCAGAGTGTTAAGAATAGAAAGTCGCCAACCCTTTACAATGAAATAAATGCTTCTATTTATACCCACCAATGGGCAGGTGGCTACACTGACGTGGAAACCCGTGATTCGCTGGTGTCTCAACCACCAAATCTTCAGCATTAAATGCACTTCCCGCCAGAATCTAGGTTTCCCGCCAGAATCTAGGTTTCCCGCCTAATTAGCGGGGACGTTCGTCCGCCCGGGGAGCGAGCTGGATTGCTCCAGGTGGCCTCCGAGGGGTATTGGCCGTTCTTCCTCTGGCCTTTGTGGATTCTCGCCATGTGGACTGGACTGCATCCGATGGCTATGGGCTTGTTCTGACGACGTTCGTCGTCATTCTGGTGACCCGTGGTCCTGCTCCTTGTCCCTGCATAGACGTTCGTCGAGATGAGCCGTTGAGCCTAAACCCCAAATGCAGACGTTCATCCCCCCTGGAGGAGCATGGGCCTGCTGGGCTAGCTTAGTGTCCTAACTGGACGTACGTCTGGAAGAAGGGGTAAACGGGCCGAACCTCAACTTGGGCCATTAACCCAACAGGTAGATTAGGAAAGTTTATCTTGTAAGCACAAAGGCTTATTAGTGAAGTTGTTAAAATTCCTCCGAGGGATGTCGAAGCTAGTTTTTTAATCCCTTTGAGCCAAAGGATTTTTCCTCGTTAAATCCTTGTGCATTTTACTATTTCGTATTTCCTTATACCCCGCACTAGAACTTGGCGAAAAACTGCCACGGTTCCACACACACAATTCACCCCCTCTTGTGTTACTAACCCTTTCATCAATAAATTTGGAAGTACTTAATTTAAAATACACAAAATATTTATGAGAATGCAATTAAAATAAAATTGTACCAGATGCAATATTATTTATTTCACAAATGAAATTTTCGAATAATCTTAACTGCATTCTAAGAAAATTTAATTAGTGTGTTTTGTATTATGTAATTATTCCAATAAATTTGTATCCGTAAAAATACAATCATGTTACAAAATGATTTTGTTATATTAAGTTCGAGGTATATATATTAAATATGCAAGTTTATGATACTTAATTATCTCACACCCAATTAAAGTTTGGAGTATTTAAATTATTTCCGCTTGTTTTTTTTGCGATTCAATCGAGCAAGCAACTTACGAGAGCAAAATTGCTAACATAAATAAGCGCTATGCGAAGTTCCTAGGGCACGGCCGCCGCTAGGTAATTTCCGATTTTGATCATTCTGGTGCGACGTTTCTTTCAATCGACGCTAGGCACGTGCCGGATTGCCGTGTTTTGGACGTAGCTTGGAATGGATGATCGTGGCAGCGAGAAGATGGTGGAAGAAGCGAGAGAGCTAGAGACGTAGGGATGATCGGGACATGGTTAGCGTGGAAATTAAAGGCTGAATGCTCCATTCGATGGCATGAATTTGGGTCATACGGAGGGTACGCCACTGAAAGAGGGTATCAATCGAGCGAAGGTCCGACCTCCGCCTGAACCACCACCATGGGTTGTACGAGCTGCTGGAGTCTGAAAGTTTTCCTAGTAATTTTTATCTGTTTATCATTTGTTTTCTTGTGTTCATCTTTGTTGTTGATTTTGACAATTTGTTTGAGTTTTTAGCCTCTCTTTATGTCATTGGGTATGGTTGGATCTATGGGAACATGTTTGGTTGTGTCAAGCTCACTACATGGTTAGCGATTCGTGTTGCTCTTTCAGGGGTGACCGTATCAAATCTCACCATAGGGTTACAGTCGTAGTTGTTGGAGTTTCAGTTGGTGTCAATTTTATTTTCCCTTTGTTTGATGTAATGATCCTGAATCTTTTGATATGAATAAAGGCCTGTTTTGATGATAAAAAAAATTATTTCCGCTTTTATTAATACCCACTGCATATAATAAAAAGGTAGATTCTATGGTACCCAAAAGGTACCATACCTTTGTCTACTTGGACCAATCAGAATGTTGCAGTTGAATTATTTAAATCTAAATTAAAAATGATATAATGATTTGGACCAATCTGTGAGTGGTAGGTACGGAATCCCTTTTTTTAAATGGGTACCGGAGTTGTCACCTAATAAAAATTCAAAACTTTTTATATATATACCATACATGCCGCAAAAGGTGCGGCGCTTTTATATACTACATATATATTACTCCCTCCGTCCCAAATTGTTTTGCAAAGTCAACATTTTTTGGTCAACCAATAATAAAAGTCAAACCTTCTTATTAATAATTAATTCAATATTTAATAATTAAAATTTACATATTCATAAACTACATTGAAATCTCTTCAAAGTTGTAAACTCTAAATTGGAATATAATTAAAAATTGACAACCTAATTAAGCGAACAAAACAAATTTGTTTGACCAAGAAAAGTCAAAGTTGCAACTCAATTTGGGACGCAGGGAGTTTAAGTCTACAAGTGCCTTTAGAAACGAATTTGGATTGCAAAAAAAGTGCCGTTAATGAGCATTTTTATCTGTATAGCCTTAGACAGTTTGACTATTCATAAACTTGTTCCTTTGCGCGCTATCGATCATATACTCCGTAGTCCGTACGTATAGTATAGTAGTACGAAGTATTGAATGAATTGAAGCTAGGAGCTTGAAGTTCATAAATAATGAAAATGTTTGATACATAAAAGCCAAGTCAAGCTAAGATCAAGGGGCGGGGGTGATATTAAATTAACAGTAAGCAATTGAATGAGTACAAACATTCTGATACATACATATAAAGAGTCTTCGTGTAATTCTTTCAAAAAAACATAAAATAAAGAGTCTTCGTAAATGAAAATGAGCACATTCAACAATAATACAAGATCGGAGTACAGTTTTGAAATAAATGACATTTAAGAAAGGATAATTTCGGGAGCCAAGCTAAGGGATCGAAATCCCTTGTTAGTTCATGATCACTACTTCATCCCATCGGAAGGAAGACTGGAAACAGAGGAAGGGAAACAAAAAACTTGCATGTAATTAATTAAACACTCGCCATCTCACGTACACAACTTATGTGATAACCATATATTTTGTGCCTTATAATAGCCAGCTTTTGTTACGAATGAATTAATAAAACACGCGTAGGAATGACACGAGAACCATTACTATCAGTGTTGCGTGAGTTGGTGCTGTAAAATCGACGACTGGTGGCGCGTGGGACGTCGCCGCCAGTCCGGTGCAATTTAAGTTCTTTTGACACAAACATTGTCCTGGATTGTCACCGGTCTTCATACACCATCCTGAAACGTATGTATTTTGTAGTTGGTTATCTGCTTGGCAGCCTAGCTGGCAATCAGTTTGGTTCTTCAGATTCGAACATATCTGTGTCCCTGCATTCTTTAGAGGATACGATGTCACCTCCGCATCCGGGGGGCAAGGGTTGTTTTGTGAATTTTGTCCATTCACTGCAAACAAACAAACAAACAAACACATCCAAACATCAACATTTTCCAAATTGGACCCGTGCGGCCCAAGTCTTACCCGAGCGGGTAGGATCTTTTTAGACGTCCAAGACCCATGGCATCGAGCCAACAATGCAACAAGAGTCTCTTTGGTGATTTTGTCATTCCGCATATCAGTCAACTTTTTCACACCCGCAGCTTATGATTTCGCGCGTTGAATTGTGTAATACGAAGTAATAAGAAAAGGTAATATTTGAGTTACTTTTCTGGTGGTATTTGCTAAAGTTACCGTATAGGATTATTTTAACTATGTTTTCATATTACGTTGTCTTTATTTTATTAATAAATATATTTTAAATATGTTTTTTCATAAATGAGTCAATTCTGCCATAACTTCATAAATTTCGGCAGAATCAGTCAATGCAGTCGCGATTTGAGTAGTACGAAACGTGCTCTAAAATACTAATTAACACACACATACACGGCTTAATATAATTCTCGTAGTCCGGCCTACCATATAATTTTTGTTTTGAAATATTTGATTTGGTGGTATGTATACTTTCATAAACAAAAGACATGCATAAAAGAACGCTTATTTATTAAGATACCTGTAGCAAGAGAAATGACGAGGAGAATAAAGAATGTAATTTTTGCAAAATGCCCCATTTTTTGCACCACTTCAAATACTATACTAACGCTTCACAAGATATTGCACTTCAATTTGTATTGCACGACAAGTCTGCAATGGTACGTACAATCGATATGATTCCACAAGTGACAAGTCTATATATATACCCGTTCATATTGACAAACATACATATGCGTCATAAATGAGCTACACATTTGGTTCCCCCCATTTTCTGGCAAATGTGAAGAACTAATTGAAAAAGGAAAACAAATTAAAAGAGAAGCAAAAGAATGATATTCAAAAGGTAGAGGAAATGTGCCACCAAATACCGGGTCATCTGGACGCCTCCCTCATTGGGAACTTGATCACTTTTTTTTTTTTTTTTTTTTTTTTTTCTTTTCAACATTGCCTTTTGCCTACATTAACTAAGAGATAATTACCCTGGGTATGACTAAAACTCTCCAACTTTTCGAATCTATTATATGATCTAGTTAGTTTTTTGCCTAAAATACTATTTAATTCGGAATACTTAAATAATATATTTAATAATTGATTTAATAAATAATTTACATGGACTAATCTGCCCTTAACCTGTTTTTATATAACCCTAATTCAATCGATGGATCATCATCCCTTCAGACCTGTGAGCGGCGCACAATTGGTGGGCGGCCACTGGTAGGAACAGAGAATTTGTCCAGGTTGTCGGACGATTGAGGCAAATTCAAGGGCTGCGACTTTGGTTGGTGGGCGACTTGGTGGGCTATGGCCAGTAGATTTGTCGAGATTGGTGGCCGATGGAAGCTAGATTCGTGGGCGGCGATTGTGAGCGATGGAGGCAGTTTAGTTGGCTGGGACTTGGTGGGCAATGGAGGCACATTACCACTTTCTTCTTCTTGTGCAATGAACTCTTGCAGTGAATGATTAAGTTTTTTTTCTTACAAAGTTCTGAATGATGAGTTAGAAAATATACGTAAAATATTTTTTTTTGATCATCTATACGTAGAATATATGTAGTAGAAGAGTTTTGATAGAATTGTTTGATTCTTAGTGCTTCAATCGTATGATTAGGCCTGGACTCGGGCCGGGCCTAGGCCCAGTCGGGCCTCCGGTTCTGGAATGGGGGACCCGGGACCGGCCCGTCCTTCGCCCGGTGCCGGTTCGGGCCGGGCCAACCGCCGGGTCGGGTCGGGCCTATTTTTTTACTTATTTATACAACTTCAATATGAAATACATTTTCTAATAAATACTAATATAATTAATTCTTAGTTGTAAGTTGTAAGTTTGTAACCAATTAATTAATTTGAGAAGTGCTACATATAAAAAAATGAGTGTATATTTATTTGAAATATGAACTACAACTTTACAAATTACAATAGAGAATTGAGGGAAAAATTAAAACATGAAAAATATTTTATAATAAATTGTAAAATACTAATCAATCGGAATCTCCGGCATAGAAGCCACCCTCGGTTGTTGATTCATCCATAAAGTCTTGGGAGGGGGTGATGCTAATTTCTTGAGTTCTACGTATGACCTTCAATCAATCGTGGTAGTATATAAGCGTCTCAAGAGACTCTGCGCTCAAACTCGTTCTAGATGCCGTTAGAACGTTACCGGTCGAACTAAATTCTTGTTTTATAGCAAATGTTGAAACCGGCATTGATAATAAATAACCGGAGTCCACCACAAGTGTGGTTTGCAAAAAAAATGTTCACCTCTCCTGTCGGATATGCCACATCCGACTAGGGGTTTTTCTATTTTTTTTTTTAATTTGTGGCCCAATCATTAATAATGGTGAGTCAAGGTTATTGTACTCCGTAAAAGTTTATGATTTTAAAAGTTTTTTAAAATTTAGGTTTTCAATTCCTATCGGAATTTGTTAATTCCAAATTTAAAATTTTTTAAATTCGAGTAATACGTACCGTACAATTTTTTAAAATTAAAACTATGCATTTAGAGTTTTTGAATAAAAAATTGATTACTTTATTTTATTTTTTAATTCATTCCTATTATTAATTAAATTCATAAAATAAAGTACAAATTTTCATTTGTTTAAAATCCAATCTTTGTAATTTTAATGGAAGTGAACAAAACAAATGTAGTTTTCAATGTAAATTATTAATAAATACATAGTACGTGCATACAATTCTAAATTTAATACTACATCTAACGTTGCTCGCTCGGCCCTAACATGTCACCGCCGCCAGTGTTCCAAAACCCCGGTGTGTCTTCAAAAGTGGAAAAATATGCATATGGCTGTGTAGAGTATTGATAAGAACCATAATACGACGGTGGTTCAAAAAATGTGAAATCTTGATGCGAAGATGATTGAGGGGGCGGTTGTGATTCCTCACCCCCACCTTCATCTTCAGCTGCATCACCCTCTTCCTCATTTCCACTGTCACCTACATATTCATCTCTGTCTTCATCAGCACGACCATGTCTACGATCACGGGCGGGAGCATCTCTTCGTCGATTAGGCCTACGAAGAGGGATGGGAGCGGGTTCATTTTGTGCATTCGGGTAAAGGAATACGCCTTGGTGGAGCATCGCTTCATCGCCTAACTCAATGGCCAAGCGCTCAAGCCATTCTTTAACGTTCTCTTTAATGTTCTCATAATCCGCCTGGTTGGCGAGCTGATAAACATCGTAAATGCCCTGCTTCTGCCGATTCACCCACCGATTGACCCGCCGCGTCCGGGTTGACCCGTGACCCGTCCATTTGGCCGGGTCGCTTCCCGGTTCGTTTTTTACAACATAGGTCACTAGTATTGCTTGAATGGGTCCTTATTTAATTGAATGAGTCTTTATTTTTTGGGAAAAGTACGGAAAAGATACTTGTGGTTGGGCCCGTTTTCAGATAGGGTCATGTGTTTCATTCTTTATCAAAGTGATTCATGTGAATATGATATATTCACATGAATCACTCCAATCAGAATTGGTACCCATGCACATATATCATACGTATTTCATACCATACGATTTCAAGTACCCATGCACATATATCATACATATTTCATACCATACGATTTCAAGTACCCATGCACATATATCATATTCACAATTAGCTAATCTTCCATACTTTATTTAGAACTATCATGTATAGGTGGTGGTGACTTACCTGGTTCCTGCGAAGTATTTACACTTGTGTGTGTGTGTCCGACATCCACGCGCAATGGTTCTTCGATGAGCAACTATATATATATATGATTTACACTTGATCAACATAGTTTCACATATATTCAAACTTAAATCCATGTCTGTAGAATAATCCTTAGACTTAAAGATGAGAGGAAGTTCACCAATCAACCCCTATAAGTGAGAAAACTCCCAATTTCCTACGTAAAATCGGGCATAGCTTCGGGGTGGCTATGTAACTAAGAACCGATTGAATTTCATGAACCAAGACTCATCATCCATCAACTAATTATCATAATATCAAGGACTACATGTATTTATTTAGAACCAGCCCCTAGACATCAAGAAACTGCCCAACTTCTTTCATTTATTTGGGTAAAACTTTGGCGTTGATAAATACTCAAAACTTCACAAGGGTTTTTAATCAAGGATGAGCAACAACTCCATAACAACCTGATTATTAAGAAAAACCATTAACTTTCATAGAATCAACCCTAAATCAGTCAACCCTAGCAAAATCCACAACCAAGAACTCTAACTCGAAATATAGAAGAAATACTTCATGGAAAATGTAAAATCTTACCAATTGATGATCTTTGATGAAGAAATATGTTTGATTTGATCTTGAATTAGTCTAGGTAGGGTTTGGAAATGAGGTTGTAGAGAGGGGGTCGAGCTGGGCTTCGTTTTGGGGGAAAAGGTGGTTTTTCGGGCTTAAAAACGCAGTTTCACCGACCTGCCAAAAACTGACCGGACCGGCGCCGGTTTGCCCCTTACCGGCACCGGTTGTGATGTGTTTTTGACGCCTTAGACATTCTGTTTTGGACTGGCACCGGTTTGAGGTCAATCGGTTGCCGGGAACGCACGAAAACACTTTTTTTCGCCCTAAACCGATCCCGATTGTTGCCGTTCACATCCTAGACCCCCGATGACATTTTAAACTACATTTCAACACCCAAATACTATTTAACATGACTACCATTTCATCCGGAATAAAAATGATTATTACGTTGCTCATCGGATACCGTCGTCTGTCACGTTCGAACATAATACAAGCATGTAAGTTCAAATATAATTATCACAAAGTTCATAATCACATAATATCCTTATTCTTCATATGTATAGCACTCAAACCATGAATCGAAACATGATCCTATTGATGAATTAAACACATAAAAAAAATACTACGTATATAAAAAGTACGGGCGTTACAGTAAAGTCGAAATGTGCACTAGAAGGACTCTATTGTGTATCAAATTGGATTAAATGTGAGTGTTCCTACATTAAGCATCGTTCTCATTGGAATCGCACTACATATATTTATAATAAAAGATGAAAAGTATTTGCAAACACGATAACTTAAATCTATATGGGGGCACCCGCGAGCACCCGTGGAGGACAACGGGGCGGGGCGGGGATGGGGCGGGTCTGGGAGTAACGGGCGATGGGGCGGGGATGGGGGGAACTTATTAGGCATGGGGCGGGGGGTAGGGGAGTGTACCCCCGCCCCAAACCCGCCCCATTGTCATCCCTAATCATAATTCATGCTCAAATTTTGAACTTAAGTTACCACAACACTACGTTGTAGTAATGAATAGTCATATTTATGTAAATAAATTTTTTTTAGTAATATTCTTGTAGAAAACCCATTTTTGAATAGAAAATTATTTAGGTTATAAAAATTATATCAAAATGTTCTTGATTCAAAATATTTTTATAAAAGTATAACATTTATAAATTATATACAAATATACTAATTAAAACTATTGTCTAAAGTTTGTCATCATGGACCAAAAAAGTCAAAATGAGGAGTCTTTTTGTGACGAAGATAGTACATCACTACTATACAATTGACTTACTATTAAAAAGAGTGAATTACCTAAATAGGACAAAAAATGGCCAAAGAGCACAAATAGGT